ACTTAACCTATTGAAATTAAGTCCAAGTTTTTGCAATCTTGGAAGGCGACGACACAAATCAGATGGAAAATCACCAGTTAATCCTGCATTTCTGAGATCTAAATATTCTAGTATCGAGATGTTGAACATAGTGAGCACATTGGAACCATTGAGTTTACTAAATCCAAAACTCAACCATTTCAAACTCCGAAGAACGGCTATTCCAGCTGGAATATTTCCTTCCAAATTGTTGTACCTCAGATTCAGGAATCCAAGATTCGTCATGTTTGAGATAGAAGAAGGAATGAACCCACTGAAACTATTGTTTTCAATGTTGAAAATCTGAAGGTCTTGAAAATCACCGAGAAATCTAGGAATATTTCCAGTGAAGTTGTTGAAACTAAGATTAATAGCTCTCAATTTTCGCAAACGAGAAAACTCAGGTGGAAGTTCACCATGGAAACTGTTGTAGCTTAGATCAAGTGAAACGAGAAAAGAGAGTTCACCAAGTTGTGACGGGATGGTACCCGAAAATCCCATGTCTGAAATATTAAGTACAGTAACTCGTTGATGACGAGAGCCACAAGTGACGCCAATCCAGTTACAAACAGAGACAGAAGAAGACCAGTTTGTTGAAATAATTTGATAAGGGTCTGAAGTGATTTGGTATTTCAACGCGAGAAGAGAAGTTTGATCAGTTGTAATATTCATGGCTAAGCAAGTTGCTAGAACATGAAGAAGAAGGAACAAAATTGTTAGAAGCTGAAAAGAGGGATATTTCTCCATTGATGAAATCCTCATTTTTTCTGAGTGAATGGGAGAAAATGTTTTATAAAACAGGGATTCACGACACAAATAAGGAAAGAGACGAGCAAATTCCCATTCACTTTTTTAGTTTGTGCAATATGAAATTACAAAATTTCAAATCAGTCTTTTCAACATGAGATTTGTGATCATCTAATTATACACGAACAAAAACGATCTACTATTTTAAATCATGATTTCAAAAAGTGTATCATGTAATTGTAACAATTTTTCCGCATGGTATATTTAAGGCCACAAAATTAAAGAACAATTTTGTACATTTGACATAACTTTAGTTTAGAATCACATGATCAAAAGTCTTCTTTATTTTTTTAAATTCCGTGTCAAGTCAAACTAGATCATTCATTGTGAAACGGAGGGAGTAACTCATATTGTTAAAGGATTATATTGAAGAATAATTAGTTTAGGAAAAATGCACAAGTACCCTTACACTATAACCGAAATTCGAGAGACCCACATTAACTAAACGAATGTCCTATTACCCCCTAAACTTGTTTGTTTTGTAATTTTATACATATTTTGTCTTATATGGTACACTCCAAGACTCCACGCAACTGAGGTGCGTAGGAGATATTTGAATGTCACATAAGTCAAAAAGGGGCACAAAATTACACACAAAAAAAAATTCAGAAGGTAATAGGACCTTAGTTTAGTTAAGGTGTGTTTTTGAAATTTCGATCATAGTCTAGGGGTACTTGTGCATTTTTTCATTTACTATTGTTGACTAGTGAGTTTTTATAAAATTATGTGTATTTGAAAGTTTATAAACACAAATATTTATTTATAAGAGAAATATGAAGATATGTGATGAATCAACGAGACGCCGTAGGATATTTTGATATTTTATGAACTATATTTTGTTCATATTGGTAAAATTTTGCAAGACTTAAAAGAAATTTTGATGATTTTCATAATTTGTAAGGTTTAATATTTCTATAATTTAAAAAATTCAAATTATATATTTAAATAAAATTTTAACTTTATTCATATTCATATCACGATTTTATATCGTATGTCTAGTATGGACTGAATTGTAAATGTGAAAAGGATAATTGGCATATAGACATTGATTGCTTAGGAATCAAAACTCAACTCAAGTAGGGTCACGCACTAGGCTATGTGATCTTATTCAGATTGACTTATTTTTATGGATTTCAAGATCTACTAGATTTTATATAAATGCAGCCAACTTTTCACTTGAGCATTGAAATACACAACTTGCCATTACATTCCCTTTGGTGGTGCCATCCAATTTTGAAATTTTGGGGTACCAAAAGAACCCAACTTGCCAACCACGCTTATAATAATCTTCCAATATCTTCTCTTATTTTTCTATTTAATCATCGATATCTAAAATTTACTGGTCTGACTAATTCATATTCATCTTAATACTTAGCGAGAAAAATCTCTATCTTCTGTACATTTTCCTTTAAAATTACTATCTCAACCGTTTGCATGAAAAGTGAATATGAAGTGTGTGTTTGGTATAAAAGAATTTCTTTTTTAATCATTTCATGTTTAGTTAGTCAAATATTTTAAAAATGAGCTTTCTAATTAAAGTAGGGAAAACAAAATTATTATTATTTTGTATCAACTAGATATTAATTTGTTAAGATTAAGTGTTCAATGAGCACAAGACTGTATTTAGGTGTCTTAGCGAAAATTTGAATAATTTTAAGAAACCACATATAACTTAATAGAAAATTCACTTAATATCTACCAAACATATCCAGAGTATATAAAAAAAATAAAAATCCTACGAACAAAAATATACATAATCATGAGTAGATGTACAACATATATCAAGGATGTATATATAATGTACATTCTCAGCTTTTGCATTTGACAATAGAAAAAAAACGATTTTTTTGTGAACATATTTTAGCTGTTAAATGTCAATTGAAATTCTAATGTTAGCCCCCATATCAAATATTTGCCCCAGGGTCATCTAAGTACCTTCTTGTCATTTTAAACGGCTTTTACTTCTTTAATTAGGCGACAAAAGTAAAGGGGTTAAATTAAGAGAAAATTAAGTAGATAAACAAATTTATTAGTTAATTAGTTAACATAGCTAATCACAATTTAATTAAATTACCAATTGTCATTAACTTACAATCATAATTACGTGGTCCACGTTTAAAATTTGTATAATTCGTTTTTAGTTGTATAAATCTAAATTTTTTCAGATGGTATAGATCCAAAATTTTGTTTTTTTTTAAAAAAAAAAATTTTCCCCTCCCACCAGGCACCCCCCCCCGTCCCCCCTTCACCAACCGACCTCGAACCCCGAGCACAACACCTTCCCCTCCCCCACACCTTCCACCAATCGATTTTTAATATTTTTTTATTTTCTAAAAATAAAAATCTATTTCATTTTACTTATATGGGTTGAATATGGATTCTCATGTTAACTCGTTTTTTTTCATATTTGTATGAGCTTAAATATGTTGAAGAATATATTAACCCATTTAAGAAAATGAAAAAAATATATGAATGATTCATTTAATTTAATATGAACAAAATGGTTTCAATTCAATTCTATGAACTGAAATTGTCACCTATACATCTAAGTACCTTTTTGTCATTTAAACAAGTTTTACTTGTTTAATTAGGCGACAAATGGAGGGATTAAACTAAGGAAAAATTAAGTGAATAAACAAATATATATTAGTTAATTCGTTAATATAACTACTCACAATTTAATTAAATTACCAATCGTCATCAACTTACAATCATAATTATGTGCCCCACCCGTCCATAATTTGTATAATTTGACTCCTAATTGTATAAATTTAGGATTTGTAAAATTCGATGCTTAACTGTTAGGGGTGTACAAAATTGAACCGAAAATCGAATCAAATCAGACATCATGTCAAATCAAAAAAATCCAAATAATGGTCTGGTTTGACTTGGTTTGGTATGAAAAAATCTCGACTATACTTGGGTTGAGTTGGTTTTAAATAAAAAAAACAACTCGAGACCAAATTAACCGACATTATATGTAATTTTTAAAATTTTATTTTATACATAAATATATTTATTTTGATATCATTTTAAAATATTTCTTATACTATTTCATAGTTTTATCTTCTTTTTTAAAATTAAAACTTAGAATTCGGAATGATCGAATAGAGATTATAGTTCATAGATGTTGATAATTATAATAAAACTTAAATCAAAATCAAATTAATACTAATGCAAAAAAGAAAATCAATTCAACACTAAGAATGACAATAACATTGAATATTTAGTAATGTAACTAATACGTATAAATTTATTTTAGCATGATTTAGTACTTTTAAATTATGATTATTTTCATTATGATTTTATAATATTTATTTTATACGATGATTTCATTATTATTTTTTTATTGAATATTTTTGTGTCATCAATACTCATCTCATATTTTTTTTTAAGAAACGTTTTGAATAATTGTATTTTGACTGGACTAAAGAAATATTTGGAGCACACGTTAATTAATAATATGTTTGTATGCAAGCTTACTGAAAAAATCCAAAAATATGGAAAATTTTGAAGTTTATTAGTTTGTTTTGGTTTATAAATTAAAAAATTCGACACAATGGTTTGATTTGGTATTTAAAAAACCCGAACCAACCCGAGATTGAAAAATTCAAAAAAAAATCCGAATTTATTAGTTTGATTTGATTTATAAATTTAAATTTTATAGGAATGATTTGATTTGATATTTAAAAAACTCAAAGGAATCCGGTCATGTACACCCTATTAATTGTATAAATCCAAAAAATTTCTAATGGTATAGATCCAAAATTTATATATGCTTATTATATAATTATCCTGTTAATATATTTAATTTTGAAAAAAAATCATATAAAGATGTAAATATAGAATTTATATATACTAATCCACAGAAATGCTTAGTTGGCTTTCCATGTCAAAAACGTCTCCTGCCCCTATAAATAAAGAGAAAGATCAGTTGAGAAGCAAAAAATCAGTTAAAAATAATCGTTTCCACTGGAGAGAGAGTGTGTTGAGTGTTTCTTCTTCTTTGGGTTTTGGATTTCTGCCTCTCATGATTCTCAAGGTGAGTGCTTCAATCACAGCAATTTCTTGAAGATTTTTAGTTAGATTTGGGCGAAATATACTCTACTTTCTGCATTCAAAACTGTTTGATTGATTGTCTCAACCAGAAATAGAATCTCCATTTTCCTTATAAGATGAATAATGCAAGACGAATTACCGGTGGTATTCCGGGTCTTAACGATGAGATTCTTGGGGTTATTTTTTCAAGATTACCAGTCAAAACTCTGATGCGATTGAAGTGCTTATATAAGGACTATTCCATGCTGATTTCAAGCCCCTGGTTTATCAATCTGTATAGCAAGAGGTTTAGTTCAATCCCTGATAACCATTGTATCTTTGTTCAGACTGGGGAGATAAATCGTTTGATCCATATACAAAATCCTGGCAACTTGATAAAGCTTAATGAACCCTGTACGACCGATTATACTGTCATAGGTTCAATCAATGGCTTGATCTGTTTAGTTACTACTATTGCTTCCGGTCGAATGATTTGCATATGGAACCCTGCCATAGAGCAGTACAAGATGTTCCCTGTACACAATGACGACCCTGAAAAGACACGCAAATGTTATATTGGTATGGGCTTTGGATATGATAAAGATTCTGATGATTACAAGGTCATGAGGATTCTAAGCTATAAAAAAGGTGGGCCGTTGACTATACTTGAGATTTACTCAACCAATTCGGAGTGTTGGAAAGAAGTGAAGTCTAATCGTCACTTAAGAATGATTAGTGACTTCTGTGATGTAATTATTGAAGGGCTTACTTGCTGGATTGCACAGGACTTGGATGGAAATTTTGTTCTTGCCTCGTTTGTTTGGAGTATAGAGGAGTTCTTCATAATAGCTTTCCCGGAAGAAGTGATAACTGCATTTCAAAATTTTGTGGTCACCAACTATCATGGGTCATTTGCATTGCTTACATACTCTTCATTCACCAAATTCAAGGGCTGTGTTGATGTTTGGGAGATTGAACTTGATATCGCTGCAAAGGAGTGTGAATGGATAAAGAAGAACACCTTTGACACGGATTTTAGCCTTTCAATGCCTTGGGTTCTTACTGGTGGAGATATAGTAGTTGAAAATGCTCCAAACATGCCCTTCTTGTTCAACCTCACAACAAAACAAAGGTGGGAAATGAGAATAAAACCTATTCGTTCACTTACCAACTATACTCAGAGCCTTGTATCAATTAAGGGGTTCAGGCGTGTTCGCAATCAACTGAAAAGGAAGAGGAAGGCTTCAAATCCAGTAAGAGCAAGATTGAACTGAAGTAAATGTAGCAATTCCAACATATTATATTCTACTTTTTGTCTCTACTGTTCCATAAACAATCCTATGATAGTTCTGTATCGAGTCTCACATGAACTTAGAAATTTAAATGTTTAGTAATTGGCCTCATTATGGTCCAAAATATGTACTTTGAGATGCTATCTGTAGTAAGTAAACTAGCCAGTTTAATGTGCATTGTCACAATGGTGGAATTTCCAATTGTTAATGCAACTTTTTCTGCTCTATGATCAGAAGAGAAGTACTATTGTATAGTGAATGTGAATTGCATCTCCTGAGTTTAGTGTTTTACTTCTTTGAGTAACATAGGCGAAACAATTTCGACCAGTGAAACGTGTAGTGTGCCAATTGGCATCTCGGTGTATATGTAATCACACTTAGTATTTTTTGAACTCTAAGGCCATATTAACTCGTACAAAAGAAGAAATGATCCCAACATTCTTAGACTAATGTGCACTTTCTTGCAGGATACTGTCATCTAGTTTCTGAATCAGATATTACACTGGAACTAATATGCATACCTAAACAATATTTACTGGGATGTAATTTATAAATAGGCGGAATGGTCTGGTGATCCTTATACTTGTATCAGTTTGTATTTTCAATCTTTCTACTTACACCTATGTCATCTGAAACCTTAAACTCAATTAAAATGATACTTTTAAGCCCCTCCAAGCATTAGTATAGCTCAGTCTCCTTTATATTATTGACAAGTCATATCCACATAAGATAAATTAATACCACATCATAATTATTTCATAGCAATTTTTAAAAATTATTAACCAAAATTATTCAATAAAATGTAAAATAATAATATTTTAATTTATTATTGTCATTATAATTCTCTCTATTTTCACTATTTCACGACAAAAAAAGCCATCACCCTGCGTCGTCGCCATTTTTTCAGGGAAATCACACCAGAGAAGCATCATTCCTTGTAACGTCACTGTTAAACTCAGTTGTAGCAACAGTTGCATCCGTCCAAAACCCTCCAGCATTTTCCACCCAAAATTCCTAACAGAAAATCCCCAAAACTCAAACCCACAACAAAAATTACTCAAATTATTCCTCTTGCAGTTCATGGATTTCAGAACCTCGGGATTGAACTTAGAAAAAGCTACAAATGGATTCAAATATAAGTTAGGAACTGAAGCTTAAGCTCGTCGTCTTTCTCCTCTTCTCCTCTCCCCATTTCCGTCATGAAACGGCCATCGCCACCATCAAAGAAAGTCGTCACTGCCCCACCTACACTCTCTTACTCACCATCTCCACCTCCGTTGTTGAATAGGTAATTTTCATAACAAAAAATACCCAATTTTCGGACGAGCACCACTAATTTTCTGATTTTTTCTGTGCTGATTATGTTCAATTTTTTTTTGCCCAACTTCGTTTTTAAATTGGGGTAACAGAAAACAAAAAACAAAAAGAAAAACAAGAAAGGTTGGAAAGGAGCGAGGAAAGGCAGAAAGAGAGAATTTGAGGTATGGGAGGGGAAGAAAGGGAAAGCAATGATTGAAGAGGATGGGAGGGGGAAAGAAGAAAGAAGTGAAAGAAAAATAAAAATAACGATAACGATAGGGTGTGGGTAAGAAAGAAAAAAGGGATTGTGGTTGGGGTGGGGGGGTGGAGTAGCTGGAAAAAAGTAGTGTGGGGAAGAGATGAAATTTTTTGTTTTTAAACTTATTATTTTCTTTTTTTAAAAAAATAATTTTAATAATTTAAAATTAAAGTTAAAATTTTATATATTATGTTCACTAGCTTTTACATGTGCGTGACTACACTCTCTTGCCAACTCATCTATATTAATGTCACATAAGAATGGTCAATGGTCAGAGGGGTTTAATATGTTGTGTTATGTTGAGTTTAAGGGTACAGATGACAAAAGTGTAAGTAGAATAGTCCAGAATACAAACTGATACAAGTACAAGGGTCCATCCGACCATTTCGCCCTAAATTAATGACACCTAAGGATGGTCAATGGTAAAAGGAGCTTGAAATTTCTATTTTGTTTGAGTTGAAGTGTCCAGATGAAACTATATGAAGTAGAAGGGTCCAGTGTACAATTCGAGTCAAGTATAAAGGTCCCAAACCATTTTGCCTATTTTTATTATGACTTATTAATATAAAAATGTTTGTTTTATGGAATTTTTTGTTTTGTTATATAACTATTGGCACCACTCATTACTTATAGGGAAAAAACATAAATTACCTCCTCCACTTGTATCGAAAAGTCAGTTACATACTCAAATTATTGTGGCGGCCTATTACACACCTAATCTTGTTCAAAGTGATATTAATATTCCCCTTCAAAAACTATCTCAGTTCTGTAAAATGAAGTGTTATACACACTTTTTCATGTATAAATAATATTTTTTTAGGGATAATGCACAAGTAACCCTCCTCAACCTATGTCCAAAATCTCAGAGAAACACTTGTACTATACAAAAGTCCTATTACCCCCTAAACTTATTTTATTAATAATATTCTATTCCTTTTCGACTTACGTGGCACTATCTTGTGGGCCCAACACTAGTTGACTTTTTCTTTCAAACTAGTGCCACGTAGGCCTAAAAGGGGTAGAAAATTACTTATAAAATAAGTTCAGGGAGTAATAAGACCTTAGTATAGTATAAGTGTGTCTCTGGGATTTCGGGCATAGATTGAGGGGGTACTTGTGCATTTTTTTTTAAATTTTAAAAACATTTATCTCTTGATATTTTCTTAAATATTTCAAAAGAATATTTGGACATCTTCCTCCTCACACCATACTTTTCTCTTTTTAAAATCTATTTCTTCTTCTTCTTCATTGTTCATAAATTGAAGGAGGAAAAATTGAAGATAAAATAGGAGTCAATAAGTCAATTATGAAGTTGAGAGATGTTGGCAGGCGATAGGCGATGGGCAACACCATTGTTGCCGATGGAACAAATAAAATTTTCAGATCTGTAAAATTATTTAAAAATCTTGATAACTAACATGTAAATCAAGCATTTCATTAGTATTCTTTGTGGGTAATGATTAATCAAATATGTTGTTGTCGATTTGAGACATAAAAATGACATTGTTGTGATTGTAGGTAATGCTCCGGCGAGAATAGAGAAGACAAAGATGGAGAAATCACTTTCTTCGATGAATTTTTGATAAATTTGGGCAATATAATTATGAAATTTATGCATAAATGTTATAAGATTTTCAATAGAAATCATTATCTTTCTCTTAATTACTTTTCGGTAATCTTCTCCTGTGAATCCTCCGGTAAGATCGAACGGAAAAATCATGAATTTCAAGAAGAAAATTATTAACTTTTCTTTTGAAGTCATCATATTCTCCACTTCTTTCTATTTCTTTTTATAAGTTCCTCTTTAAGGGTAAAGTGTTGGATGTGCTTCCATCAAACAATCAATGGTGATAAATCTAGTGATTCCTAAGAAGAAGAAGAACTCAAAATTAAGAAAAATGCAAATGTTTTTAAGAAATTGGGGCCACCAATAAAAAGATTTAAAAAGAAAGAAAATTGAAATAATTGATAAATTAAAAATTGTAATACATAATTGTATAAAGACCAAAAAATAGTGTCATATGTTCAAATTTTTCATTCTAACATATATTTTTTCTTCTCACGCACCTTAAGGAAGGTGAATACACTTTCTTTGTCATGTCACATTCTAGGGGATATTAATATCAGTTTAAACAAAATTAGGTGTGTAGTAGGTCATCGTAATAGTTTAGCGAGTAATTGACTTTTCGGAATAAGTTCTAAGAGTAATTGTATCTTTTGCCTTACATATATAAGAAACCTTCTGACAAAAATACACATAATGAGTACTATAGAGGAAACTTAAATAATATAGTATGTTAAGAAAATATTTATCACTTATAGTAGAGCAACTTTCACATATAGCAAATACAAAATTAATATTTGTATGTTAACAAAGTTTGTTTTATTATGCTCCAGCAAACATGAATATGTATGATTCGCTATACATATACAAAGAAACCAATTGTATAATTTGCTATACATATACAAAAGAAAATAGTTGTATACTAATCAATTGTATAATTTGTGTATATATAAAATGAGAAAGAGAGAAAGACAAAAGATAATTGGACAGGAGAATATTTGTATTGTATAAATTATAAGTGTATAGGACGAAGATAATACATACAATTTTCTCTCGCTTTATTCAAATAAAAACGCAATTTATACATTTCGTTTCTGTTTGTATAAGCGATAAAGGCGAAGGTGGCGAGCGCGATATGAGAGAGTGGCAAGTGAAATCTGGGAGAGGGGAGAGAGGAGATAGGGGAACGAATATATATATATATATATATTTGTTATTATATACAATTTTTCTTTATAATAATAATATATTTTTTTCACTTGATCACTTCTAATACATTTATAATTCAATTCAATTAAAAATGAATCGTTCCCATCAGAGAGAGAGTTTCTTCTCAGCGCGCTGCTACATTTCACAATACAAAAAAAACATTTTTTTTAAAGAACACAAAATGAAGGGTTAAAAATTAAGAGAAAATAATCAGGATAAACAAAGCTATACGGTAGTTAATAAGTTAATATACCTACAATTCAATTTAGATTACCGATTGCCACTGACATACTATCATAAGTATATGGTCCATGTCGAGAGTTTGTATAATTTGGTTTCTAATTGTATAAATTCAGGATTTGCATAATTCAATTTCTAATGATATAAATAAATAAAAATTCTAATGTTATAGATCCAAAATTTGTATATGCTTACCCTAACTTATATATTATAATTATCCTATTGATACATTTAATTTGTATAATTTTTAAATTTTTCCTAAATATATAAATAAAAAAACTCGTATATATATATTTACCCTGTTTGTATATTAGCAAGCAAATTATACAAAGGAAAATACTCATTGCAAAAAAAAACTATAACTATGAATCGGAAATCCTAATTGGCATTCCATGTCATCAAAAATGCTTAGTTGGCTTTCCATGTCAAAGTAGCTCAGCATCATCTCAAAACTTTTTCTACCCCTATATATAAATAAAGAAAAAAATCAGTTGAGAAGCAAAAATATCAGTTAAAACGAGAGAGAAAGTGTTTGGTGTTTCTTCTTCATTTGGGTTTTGGATTTCTGCCTCTCATGATTTTCAAGGTGAGTGCTTCAATCACAGTAATTTCTTGAAGATTTTTAGTTAGACTTGGGCGAATTATACTCTACTTTCTGCATTCAAAACTGTTTGATTGATTGTCTCAACCAGAAATAGAATCTCCATTTTCCTTATAAGATGAATAATGCAAGACGAATTACCGGTGGTATGCGGGGTCTTAACGATGAGATTCTTGGGGTTATTTTTTCAAGATTACCAGTCAAAACTCTGATGCGAATGAAGTGCCTATACAAGGACTATTCCGAGCTGATTTCAAGCCCCTGGTTTATCAATCTGTATAGCAAGAGGTTTAATTCAATCCCTGATAACCATTGTATCTTTGTTCAGACTGGGGAGATAAATCGTTTGATCCGTATACAATATCCTGGCGACTTGATAAAGCTTAATGAACCCTGTACCACCGATTATACTGTCATAGGTTCAATCAATGGCTTGATCTGTTTAGTTACTACTATTGATTCCCGTCAATGGATTTGCCTATGGAACCCTGCCATAAATCAATACAAGATGTTCCGTGTGCACAATGAGAACCCTCAAGAGAAACGCAAATGTGATATTAGTATGGGTTTCGGATATGATAAAGATTCTGATGATTACAAGGTCATGAGGATTCTAAGCTATAAAACAGGTCGGCCGTTGACTATACTTGAGATTTACTCAACCAATTCGGAGTGTTGGAAAGAAGTGAAGTCTAATCGTCGCTTAAAAATGAGTACCAGCTTCTGTAATGTAATTGTTGAAGGGTTTACTGTCTGGGTTGCAGAGGATTTGGATGGAGATATTGTTCTTGCCTCGTTTGTTTGGAGTAAAGAGAAGTTCTTCATAATAGCTTTCCCGGAAGAAGTGATACTTACATCTCAAAATTTTGTGGCCACAAACTATCATGGGTCATTTGCAGTGCTTGCATACTCTTCACCCACAAAATTCAAGGCGCGTATTGATGTTTGGGAGATTGAACTTGATATCGCTGCAGAGCAGTGTAAATGGATAAAGAAGAACACCTTTCACACGGATTTTGGCCTTTCAACACATTGGGGTCTTACTGGTGGAGATATAGTAGTTGAAAATGCTCCAAACATGCCCTTCTTGTTCAACCTCACAACAAAACAAAGGTGGGAATTGGGAATAAATCCTATTCTTTCACTTACCAACTATACTCAGAGCCTTGTATCAATTAAGGGGTTCAGGCGTGTCGGCAATCAACTGAAAAGGAAGAGGAAGGATTCAAATCCAGTAAGAGCAAGATTGAACTGAAGTAAATGTAGCAATTCCAACATATTATATTCTACTTTTCCTTGTCTCTACTGTTCCATAAACATTCCTATGATAGTCCGGTATCGAATCTAGCATGAAATTAGAAATTTTAATGTTTAGCAATTGGCCTCATTATGGTCCAAAATATGTACTTTTGAGTTGCTATCTGTAGTAAGAAAACTAGCCAGTTTAATGTGCATTTGTCACAATGGTGGAATTTCCAATTGCTAATGCAACTTTTTTTGCTCTATGATCAGAAGAGAACTTCTATTTTTTATAGTGAATGTGAATTGCATCTCCTGAGTTTAGTGTTTTACTTCTTTGAGTAAGATAGGCGAAACAATTTCGACCAGTAAAACGTATAGTGTGTCAATTGGCATTTCAGTACGGTGTATCTGTAATCACACTTAGTATTTTTTTGAACTCAGGCCATATCAACTCATACAGAGGAAGAAATGATGCCATCATTCTTTGACTAATATGCACTTTCTTGCAGGATACTGTCAGTTTCTCAATCAGATATTACACTAGACTAATATGCATACCTAAATATTATTTACTGGGATGTAATTTATACATAATGAGTACTGCAAAGGAAACTTACCTAAATATATATTATACTAAGAAAATATTTATCATTTATAGTAATAATATTTTTTTTTATTTGATCACTTTTAATATATTTATAATTCAGTTTTAAGATATATTACAATTTTTTTTTTACTATTCACATATAATATAAGTTTTATTGATAAATAATACATTATCACACATTTTAATGCACTTATAATTCAATGTGTCAATTTCTTTTCAAACAAGCATAATATATTTAAAAGAACAGCTATGGCTCACATGTATTGCATACAAAATTTACTCTAATACATATTACAGATTTAACATAATATTGCTGTAAATATTCATTAAAAAAAAGTTATCTTTAAAATCGAATTAATTAAAGAAATATCACCTTATAGTTTACTTATTATCATTATCCCCTATAAATTTTATAAAATTCCTCATTTTTTTCTGAAGTCAAAAATACATTAATATATCCGACCCTCTTTTAATGTATAACGCTTTGATTTTTTGACGATTAATGTATCCGATCCTCTTTTAATGTATCACCGCATGTATCCGACCTCTTTTTAATGTATAAGCGCTTTGATTTTTTTGGCTATTAATGCATCTGACCTCTCTTTTTAATGTATCAGTAATTATATCTGTTTAAAAAATTTCTCTAATTATAAACTTTTGAGAGATAAATTATAATTTTACCTTAAAATATGACTTTTGTAATTTGCCCATCCAAATAATTTACATAGTAGATAGTATCAAAGTAGATACAAAAGCACGGACAAGCCCAGATAATTTACATAGTAGATAGTATCAAAGTAGATACAAAAGCACGGACAAGCCCAGAACCAATATCTATTAGTTTATTTATTTAAATTTATTTGATACACATAAAATTAAAGAATTAATTAAATTCTTAAATATTTTTATTGTTTATTATTTTTAACGTACTTTTCAAATAATATTTGATGCATATACGAATATATAAGACTTTGCACCCTATTAATAGAGAAATAAGAAATAAAAAGTTCAATAAAAAATGAATCGTTCCCATCAGAGAGAGAGAGAGTTTCTTATCAGAATATCAGCGCGCTGCTGCATTTCACTGTAGGAAAAAAATTTATTTTTTTTAAAGAACACATTTTACATGTTAAATGTCAATTGAAATTCTATTGTTAGCCCCATATCAAATATTTTGATATAGGGGTTCTATTTATTTATTATTATTTTATTTTGTCATTTTAAATGATTTTTACTTGTTTAATTAGGTGACAAAATGAAGGGTTAAAAATTAAAAGGGAAAATAATGGGGATAAACAAACATATACGATAGTTAATAAGTTAATATACCTACAATTTAATTAAATTACCAATTGCCACTAACTTACTATCATAAGTACACGGGCCACGTCCAGAATTTTGTATAGTTCGGTTTCTAATTGTATAAATTCAGAATTTGCATAATTTGATTTCTAATGATATAAATTTAAAAAATTCTAATGTTATAGATCCAAAATTTATATATGTTTACCCTAATTTGTATATAATTATCCTATTGATACATTTAATTTGTATAACTTTTAAAAATTTCCTAAATGCATAAATACTGTATATATACTTATCGTGTTTGTATATTAGCAAGCAAATTATACAAATGAAAATACTCATAAAACAAACAAAAATATAACTATGAATCGGAAATCCTAATTGGCATTCAACGTCATAAAAAATGCTTAGTTGGCTTTCCATGTCAAAGTAGCTCAGCATCATCTCAAAACTTTTTCTACCCCTATATATAAATAAAGAAAAAAATCAGTTGAGAAGCAAAAATATCAGTTAAAACGAGAGAGAAAGTGTTTGGTGTTTCTTCTTCATTTGGGTTTTGGATTTCTGCCTCTCATGATTTTCAAGGTGAGTGCTTCAATCACAGTAATTTCTTGAAGATTTTTAGTTAGACTTGGGCGAATTATACTCTACTTTCTGCATTCAAAACTGTTTGATTGATTGTCTCAACCAGAAGTAGAATCTCCATTTTCCTTATAAGATGAATAATGCAAGACGAATTAGCAATATTCCGGGTCTTGAGAATGAGATTCTTGGGGTTATTTTTTCAAGATTACCAGTTGGAACTCTTCTGCGATTGAAGTGTTTAAGTAAGAGTTGCTGCAAACTCATTTCAAGTCCCTGGTTTATCACTCTGCATCACAAGAGGTATAATTCAGACCCTGATAACCATTGTATCTTTGTTCAGACTGGGGAGATAAATCGTTTGATCCGTATACAAAATCCTGGCAACTTGATAAAGCTTAATGAACCCTGTATCACCAATTATACTGTTATAGGTTCAATCAATGGCTTGATCTGTTTAGTTACTACTATTGCTTCCCGTCGAATGATTTTCCTTTGGAACCCTTCCATAAATCAATGCAAGATGTTCCGTGTGCACCATGAGAACCCTCAAGAGAAACGCAAATGTGATATTAGTATGGGCTTTGGATATGATAAAGATTCTGATGATTACAAGGTCATGAGGATTCTAAGCTATAAAACAGGCCGGCCGTTGACTATACTTGAGATTTACTCAACCAATTCGGAGTCTTGGAAAGAAGTGAAGTCTAATTGTCGCTTAAAAATGAATACCTGCTTCTGTAATGTAATTGTTGAAGGGCTTACTTACTGGGTTGCAGAGGACTTGAATGGAAGTACTGTTATTGCCTCGTTTGTTTGGAGTAAAGAGAAGTTCTTCATAATAGCTTTACCGAAACAAGTGATAACTAAATCTCAAAGTTTTGAGGCCACGAACCATCATGGGTCATTTGCATTGCTTGCATACTCTACACACAGAAAATTCAAGGCGTGTCTTGACGTTTGGATGGTTGAACTCGATTTCTCTACAATGGAGTACGAATGGACAAAGAAGTACACCTTTCAAACGGATTTTGGCTTTTCAATGCATTGGGGTCTTATCGGTGGAGATATAGTAGTTGAAAATGCTCCACGCACGCCCTTCTTGCTCAACCTGACTACAAAACAAATGCGGCCATTGGGAATAAATCCTCTTCTGTCACTTTTCAACTATACTGAGAGTCTTGTATCAATTAAGGGGTTCAGGCGTATCGGCAATCAACTGAAAAGGAAGAGGAAGGATTCAAATCCAGTAAGAGCAAGATTGAACTGAAGTAAATGTAACAATTCCAACATATTATATTCTACTTTTCCTTGTCTCTACTGTTTCATAAACATTTCTATGATAGTTCTGTATTGAATCTGTCATAAACTTAGGCATTTAATTGTTTAGTAATGGTCCAAAATATGTACTTTGAGTTGCTGTCTGTAGTAAGAAAACTAGCCTCATTTGTCAGAGTTGTTGATATACGAATCTCCAAATAATATAAATCTCTTTTGATGCAACTTTTTCTGCTTTATGAGAAGAGAAGCACTATTTTATATTGAATTGCATCTTCTGAGTTTAGTATTTTGCATTCTTTGAACAAGATAGGCGAGACAATTTTGACCAATAAAACGTGTAGTGTGCTAAAGTGACATCTCGGTGTATCTATAATCTGACTTTAATTTTTATTGAACTCAAGGCCATATTATACAAAAGAAGAAATGACCCCAAGATTCTTTGAATAATATGGACTTTCTGATTAATTAAGTCCTTGACAATCCACTTACCTAATTTAGTCCATTAACTATTCAAAACCGGTTTAGTTCTTTAACTATACATTTACTGACGTCCTTTAGTTAAGAGGACATAAAATTGAGATACTTAATGGATCAAACCTAATAAAATTTGGGATAGCTAAAGGACTGAATCCGATAAATGTATAATAAAAATACTATTTTAGATCTACTCCAATAGTTTATGGACCAATTATGACATTTAGTTGTACAATATACCTTCTCAGCTAGTTATAGCATTTCACAATAAAATATTCACATAATACATAAATACAACCTTACCTTGTCTTTAACTCAAATTTATGTTTTTTAACTTTGGGATGTACAATTAGACAATTAAACTTATATAAATTGAGTAATTAAATATATGCATTTTGTGTAGTATCCTACATGATGATTTGACTCATGAGTGTTCTATATATATTATGTCAAGTAATTTATATTTCTATTTATTTAATTTTATATAAATTTAAAAATTTATTTATACAAATTTAAAATTAAAAAAGGTAGTATAAAATGAGGCAAAGTGAAAAGGCGGCAGTTCACGTCATTAAATATGCTTAGTTGGCTTTACATGTCAGCCCCTACATCAAAGTTGTTCAACATCATCTCAACTTTTTTTCGCCCCTATAAATGAAGTGAAAGAAAGAGAAAAATCAATTGAGAAGCAAAAAATCAGTTAAAAAGAATTTATATTAAACATTACACATATGTGGCACGTGTCCTCAAATTGAAAAGTCGACTTACCAAGACAACAATTGAATATTAAATGACCGTTTTACCCTTTGAGGGTAAAATATTAAAAGAAAATTTATATATTAAAAGTGATAAATAAAAATAATGTATATAAAATAATTAAAGGAATGCAATTTTTGTTTATTTATTACTCTCTCCTTTATAAAGAATAATCTACTCTAACTTGACATCAATTTAAAAAATTAAAATTTTAAATTTCATATTTTTAAATTAAAATTATGCTAAACATATAAAATTATTTTTTAATGTTATAAAGATTAAAATTAGGATGTTATAAAAAAAGGAAAAAGATGAGTAGTTAAAAGTGAATGTAATATCTCAATAAATAAATGAATCAAATATCATAATTGGCACAGAATTTTGTGTATCAGATAAGCAATCAATGTATTCAATGATGGTGCTTTCCAATCGAGTGGAAAATGATTTTGGGGTTGAGTTTCTGCCTCTTCATCTAATCATTTTAAGGCAAGTGCTTGAACCCCCACTTAAATGACATCATTCAAGGCAATTTTTTGAAGACTTTTAGTTAAATTTGGGGCACTGTATTTTCTGCAAACAAACTGTTTGATTGATTGTCTCAATGAGAAATAGAATCTGGCTTTTCCTTATAATTAGAAGACGAAGAATGCAAGACCAACTCTGCTGCAATTGAAGTTCGTATGAGCTATTCTTGAAGCTCTACTTCTTAGAGAAATGCATAAGCGAAAACATTATTGACATAGATCAATCAGCTCTACTTACCTTGAAAGCCAGCTTTACTGTAAGCTCTTCTCATCCCTTAACTCAAAATTGGTCATCTCAAGCTTCAGTTTGTGATTGGATTGGAGTCACTTGCGGTTCTCGCCACCATAGGGTGGCTGCATTAGATATATTCAACATGAACATACTTGGAGACAATATTCCTCCACATTTGGGAAACCTTTCTTTTCTCATTTCTCTAAATCTAAGCAAAAATAATTTACATGGAGAGATTCCAATGTGGTTTGCTTCACTCTTCTTTCATTTCCAAGTTAGAAACACTGAGTGTTAGATACAATCGTCTTCAAGGAAGTATCCCGAGGAGATTGGGAATCTTAAGAATCTAAAGGAGATGATTTTATTCGATAACCAATTTACTGGCTCTATTCCGTTCTCCATTTTCAACATGTCCTCATTGGAAACTTTAGGTCTATCAAGTAATCAATTAACAGGGACTCTTCCTATAGATGTATGCCGCCATCTTCAAAAAATCAAGAGCATTGCAATCATTTCCAACCACCTGAGTGGTCACATTCCACCTGGTTTGTCCAACTGCACGGAACTGAATGAATTGTCATTATTATACAATAACTTCAGTGGGACCATTCCACCAGAGACTGTGAACTTGGAGAGGCTTGAACTCTTGAATCTTGGGGGAAACAACTTGCAAGGTACTCCCTTCGTCCACTTTTACTTATTCTGCATTATGTAAACTTAAACTTATTTGGTAAACTGAACCAATCAAGTAAACTTATTCTGGAATTTTTAACTAAACTAAGTCATTATATAAAATAATTTACCAAAGTAATACATTTTTCTAAAATTTTACAAAACTAGTATAAACGTATTTCAGGGTAACATTTTAGGATATATTTTATTTTTTAAAAACTAACAACATTAGGTTGATATACGTTACTATAAGTAACGTTTTACTTTTAAAACGTTATTTTCAGTAACGTTTTAGGAGTAAAACGTTACTGTGAGTAACGTCTTAAGAGTAAAACGTTACTGTGAGTAACGTATATCAATCTGACGCCATCAACTTTTAAAATAAAATATATCCTAAAATGTTACTGTGAAATACGTTTATACTAGTTTTGTAAAATTTTAGAAAAATATATTATTCTAGTGAATGGCTTTATATAATGACTTAGTTTGGTTAAAGCCTGCTTATTCTGGATACATATACTCTTCCTTGGGGGTTTCATGAAAGTAGCATTGATCTCAATGTTTTTTTCTCTGCATTATGTGTCAGGTGTTATACCCCAAGAGATAGGGAATCTTCACATATCGGAGAGACTTTATTTGCAATTTAATAAGTTAATTGGTTCCATACCGGGGGAGCTCTTCAATATCTCTACGCTAACAAGGGTGCAATGTCAATAACCTTTCGGGTAGTCTTCCATCTGCTTCAGGCTACTGGCGAACAAATCTAGTGCTTTTGAATCTTGCTGAAAACAGCATTGGTGGAGTTATACCCAGCTCAATCTCCAATTCTTCAAATCTAATGGATTTATTTCTTAATGATAACAAATTCAGTGGCCAAATTCCTAACTCATTGGGGGATTCGAGGCATCTTGAATATCTGGAGTTGTTCAATAATAACTTGTCATTTCCGCATCTAAGTATCTTTGCTTCCTTGGTGAACTGCAGAAAGTTAATAAGCTTATGGTTAGCGGGTAATCCTCTGAATGTTGTTCTTCCGGATTCCGTTGGCAATCTCTCCAGTTATGATAATATATCTGACAAATATAGTGCATACATAGCTGCAGTTTCAAATCATATTGAACCAAAGTCTTATATAGAAGCTGCTAAAGATCCAAGATGGATAGAAGCTATGAAGTCTGAAATTGAAGCATTGCAAAGCAACCATACTTGGGACCTAGTAACTCTTCCTGAAGGAAAGACTCCAATAGGCTGCAAGTGGATATTCAAAGTCAAATATAAATCCACAGGAGAGGTAGAAAGGTATAAAGCCAGACTAGTGGCTAAAGGGTACAACCAGCAAGAAGGAATTGACTACCAAGAGACATTTTCTCCTGTAGTAAAGATGAAAATTGTTAGGACTGTGTTGGCACTAGCTGCACAAAATGGATGGTATGTACATCAAATGGATGTGTTTAATGCATTTTTACAAGGAGATTTGTTTGATGAAATCTATATGAAAACGCCACAAGGCTTCACAAGTCAGGGGGAGAAACAACAAGTATGCAGACTTGTGAAGTCATTATATGGGTTGAAACAAGCTCCTAGATATTGGAATGCTGAACTGTCTAAGGCATTAGTGGAACTTAAGTTTAAACAAAGTGAGTATGATCAGTCTATGTTCATCAAGAAAGATGAATCTGGAATAGTGATTATTCTTGTGTATATGGATGATCTGTTAGTCACAGGAGATAGTCTGAAAATTGTGAAAGAAACGAAAGAGAAGTAAAAACAGGTTTTTAAAATGAAGGACCTTGGAGAACTAAGATGCTTCTTAGGTATTGAGTTTGTCAGGTCTGACCAAGGTATACTTATGCACCAAAGAAAGTACACATCGGAGCTTATATCAGAGACAGGACTCAGCAGTTCTAAACCAGCTTCAACACCAATGTACACAAATATAAGTTACAACTAAGCAGTTTGATGAGTACATCTCATCAGGAAACTCAGAAAAGTCCAACACAAATGATCCACTAGTAGATCAAGGAGCATACCAAAGGCTGATAGGAAAGTTGTTATATCTAACTGTGACAAGACCTGATATAGCTTTTGGGGTCAATATTTTAAGTCAATTTCTCCAACAACCAAAGAAATCTGACATGGATGCTCCTCTAAGGATTGTAAGGTATGTGAAGAACCAACCAAGTCTAGGAATTCTAATGTCTAGTAACAAGAACACAACACTTACAGCTTATGGTGACTCAGACTGGGCTTCATATCCACATACAAGAAGATCAATAACAGGTTACATGGTTAAATTTGGAGATTCTCTATTAACTTGGAAGTCAAAGAAAC